GGGGTCAAATATACTATATCTCTGTTTAACACAGAAATCCTGAAATAAATAAATAAATAAATAAATAAATAAATAAATAAATAAATAAATAAATACATACATACATACATACATACATACATACATACATACATACATACATGTGTGTGTATGTGCATATATGGGTACATTTAATAAATAGTTTTGCTGTGTATAATGAAGAAGAAGAATAAAAACCACCACTGTCTTGACTTTTCTATGTCAGTTGATACTCTTGAAAACACACCTCCAGATTTAAAAGAACTCAATTACACTGTAACAGGTGGACACTCTGTTATAACTTTCCTGTCAGTGGAATAGCAATAATGTTGGGAGATGGATTAAGCCATTTAATTCTGTGCATTACTTTTCACGCCTCAAAGCCCTCATATTTCTGTCATGATGGCAATAAAACGGATTAAATTGACCTTAACTGACAAACCATCATAACTTAACTAAGGAGTACAAGTAAGCACAAAGAAATTTGTTGTAATCCTTTCTATAGTTACTAGAATAAACTCCCTGTAGAGTAATCCCTTAATTTGAGGTAGAGTCGGGGCGAATAGTTGGAGCTGAACATTTATAGGCCAGATGCCTTTCCTGACACCATGCAAGGTTCACTGCAGACATTTGTTTCTTTGCTCTCTAGGAGAGAAACATCTCCTGCTATCTAGGATTGAACTTTCAACCTTCCTAGCGGGAGGCAAGCATCTTCACCACTAGGCCACCATGCCGCTATATTCTTTATATATAGTATATAGAACTAAATTCTATAGTTACTTGAATATGAATATCTAAATGAATTTGTTTTAACTGATGGAAGATTTACTTTGCAGATAAATACAGATGACCTAAATTAACAATATTATGATCATGCATATTAATCCCCTGCATTTAGCTTGGAAATATTTTTAAATTTCTTACATAATTTTGGCTTATGTCTATTTTTATCTTGATTTAGATCCTTATCAAATTCTTGGTCCAACAAGCAGTCGTCTTGCAAATCCAGGTATGATAAAATATTAATGCTTTAGCAATTTTACCTGAAAATAAGAAATGTATTAATTACCAAAAAGATCAGAGTGATGATAGCTGGTATTCCTGTATTCCATGAGTCTGTCATTGTCATCAAAATTATGTTTAATGTTAATTATAGGAGAAAAAAGTGAAAGAAGAGGTCTTTAAAAGCTCTACCAATGTGTCACTGAGTGTTTTTGAAAACCTGCTCCTGTTTAGACCATGTTAATATATTAGATGTGGTCTGCAGCATTAGAAAAACAAGTATAGGTCCTAAAAGTTTTAGGCTGCTTGGATCCTACCAATCTGATCTGGGTTACTTAAAATAACAATTAATAATGAGAAAGTGTTTGTCTGAAATTTATTCATAGATTTACATAAATGTACTCATAAAGTTTACTTCTGAATAGTTATTCTGGTACAAATCTATCACAAAAACTGTCTGCTTCCAATTCAAACGTAAATAACTATCTAGCAAAGGTCCCAATAAATCATGGCCATGCTGAAGAATAAACTTACAGTGTTAATCAATACATAGTGCAAATTGCTAGTACCTTACTTTAATGGGGCTAAACCTCAAAGTTCACATGCTGTGGATGATGAGTCAAGGATGTGTAGAAGAGATAGAAGTATTCAAGGGATAGTAGTTGCCATGATTTGAAGACTTTTTTCTGCTTTTCTCATGAACACACAGATGACAACTTTGGATGGAAGTGTACTGCACAGATAATTGTGATATCATTGCATATCCTCATATATTAATCTTGTCCAGGCAGGTGAATCAACTGAGGAACAGGGAAAGGGCAGCCTAGAGGTCTATGTAGATTATCGACACTGTTTCATACATGGGCTAGAAAGTTTTTGTGTTAATTTCTAATAAATGACTCTAATGATTCTTCTTCTCTTTCCCTACCTACAGGGAGTGGGCAGATACAGCTGTGGCAGTTTTTGTTGGAGCTTCTGTCAGATAGCTCCAATTCTAATTGCATCACCTGGGAAGGTACCAATGGAGAGTTCAAGATGACTGACCCAGATGAAGTTGCACGGCGCTGGGGGGAAAGGAAGAGCAAACCCAATATGAACTATGACAAGCTCAGCCGTGCTCTTCGTTATTATTATGACAAAAATATAATGACTAAAGTTCATGGTAAACGTTATGCCTACAAATTTGACTTCCATGGAATTGCTCAAGCCCTTCAACCACATCCTCCAGAATCATCCATCTATAAATATCCATCAGACCTGCCCTACATGAGTTCCTATCATGCACACCCCCAGAAAATGAACTTTGTTGCTCCTCATACTCCTGCTTTGCCTGTTACTTCCTCCAACTTTTTTGCTGGACCCAGTCCATACTGGAATTCACCAACTGGAAGCATCTATCCCAACACTAGGCTCCCAACCACTCATATGCCTTCTCACCTTGGCACTTACTACTAAAGAGGGAAGAATATTTTAAAGGGTATGTTTTCCTGGAATACAAGGAATTAGAACCAACAAATCTGAACAAAATGTGCCTGAAAGACTGATAATACTGACCAGGATGTAAAAAAAACTTTTTTTATAGAGAGAAATTAAAAAGTGTAAAGATATGTTGACATCAGGTCTAAACATCAAAGAAGAAAATACACATCTAGGTAAAAATTTGTAATAATAACTAGAACATGGGGCCAGAAGAAATTTGTAAGATTGCTATGTCTTTTTTCATATCACAGTAAAGTAATACAAGGATACTCTATTACGAACTTGGATGCAACAGATGAATATATAAATGCATAAAAAACTAACTGTATTTTTTTAACAAAAAAAAACAAATATGTAAAAAGTGGGATAAATATATCTCTAGAGCAGACCGTGTTGTCATCAAGAGGGAGGGATCAGATATTTCAAAACTGTGAACACAATACAAGTTTCTTGATAATGTTACAAAGCTCTGAGCCAAACATTGGGTTTGAGGATGTGCTAAGGGAAAGTGTATGATTGTAGACTAAGGGTTCAAATGTCAGGAAGTTCTCCTATGCAAACCCTGTTGCAATATATAGGAGCTCACAAGAGCACTATTAAAACTCTGTGTCTGATAAAGGTAGAGGAAAGGAATAGGAGAACATGGAGTGATAAAGATAAGGAAAATGTATTTCTTTTAAAGAGGAGGAAACTGACAGTTTTTGAAGAATTATTTGCTCGGACATGACAAATACCATAGTATGTATTAAGCCATTTTCAGTATTATCAAAGAAAAAACAAAGCCTTTATTTTTAAATCAAAAGAGGGAGAAGTAGTGATAATCAAAGTATGCATCTCTCTATAAGATATTAAACTGGAATTGTGTGCTATTTAAAATAACACTTCAAACCTCATTCTTCTTAAGGGAAGTTGTTGTCTACTAGTTGAAAAGGACAAAACCCAATTGCCAATAGGATATTTGTTAGGCAGCGCCAGTTTTTCTTTCCGAGTCGCGAACGCTGTGCGTTTGTCAGAATGAATTATACAAGTCAGTGTTATTTTTTTTCTTTTGATATAATAATTATATAACTTATGCATTTATACACTACGAGTTGATCTCGGCCAACCAAAGACATAAAAAACGACAATCAGAAATACTGTGGCCTTGAATTTTAACTCTGTATGCTTCATGTTTACATTATGAATTTAACTAGTTCTTAGAAAGCAGAATGTATGTAATAAAATAAGCTTGGCCTAGCATGGCAATTCAGATTCTCACTATTGTCTAAATTTTCATATTTTTCAGAAAAAAAAACACTTTTACATGAGTAAAAATAAATATTTTAAAAAATTGTTTATAAACCTGAAATACTTTTTAAAAAATGAAATAAAAGAAATTAGAACATACTTACTTTTACTTCACCCATTAAAAATTCAACTCTAACAATAATTATTGCAATTTGGAAAACCAAATCAGAATGTTCTCCAGAGTAGATGTGGAATTGACAGGAGGCCTGAAAGGGCATTTGGTTATTGCAGAATTTCTGATGTGCTTCTCTTGTTAATGTTGATCTGGAAATCTGAAAATATTCATAATCCTAGAATTTTCTTTATATATAAATCTAGAACAGAATTTTCCATTCCATTGTATGGATTGCTGCCTATTACATCACATTAATTTTCAATGTGTTGATATTGTGTTGTACAAATGTTAATGATAGTAAGGAAGATTAAATGATAATTAGCCGGGAGAACAAGAACAAGAAAAAGCTGTATATTCGGTATATCTCTTATTTCTACCTTAAAGAACTGCAGCCAGAACACTTCTACCTTCCTTATAGACACATATTACTTTAGCTTCCTGCTTCCTTGTTCAATAAGGCCACCTTCTCTGCCTCTCACCAGTATTATACTGTATAGCAACTCTGTTCTATTCTCTGTTTTTAAAAAATGTATTTATCTATATTTTCCATTGGAACAAGGAACCTAAATAAAATTATGGCCAATTTAAAAACATACACAAAAAAAGAGTCCAAAGAATATTATTATGGATTTCATTCTGAATAAACTCGGTTACTTAAAATATAAAATTCTGTGATCGATGTATATATGGATGTGATCTTCTCCATAAATACATACATATTTATTGAGACCATTTTGAGTTTTATAAAAAAATTTCACATATCCACTTTATATATTCTTCCTATTGTAGATTTGTCTTGAGTATTTTTATAGAATTAATTGTATGTATTTCTTAGCATGATTATTTGCTCAAAGCAAAAACAATTCAGGTACTTCCAAGGCTTGAATATTCACTTGACTGATTCATTGACTTTGCACTTTTTTCATCTATACAGGAAATTTAGCCAAGCCTTATAGTTAAAATGTAATAAAATTTGCCATGCAAAAGAAGTGCAGAACTTACATAGCTTTCAATAAAATAGATTTATCCAAACTCAGCCCAATGTATTTGGTTCTCCGCAAGAGGCCAAACTGCCTCCAGATCCACCAGGCAGCAAGTTTCTTCATCTTGCTAGATGGCAGGGGCAGGTCTGAGCTGAATTTAATCTAGAGCTGAGCCCTCAGTCAGTTGTTGAAGGAAAAAGGGAGACAGTAAAAAAAATTACAATGAAATGATATTTTAAAAATGCAGCCATCAGGAAGTAGAGGAAATTGATATTCTCTTTGTAGTCAGGTGTTTCCTGTACAAAGAGGTACTCTCAGGTTATTAGATATGATGGAATGTGAATTAAATCCAAGTATTCTGGAACACAGGTTAGGCTGTCTATAGTATTAAGCCTGCCAGAAGTTGAAACTGGATAGTATTAGATATAATAAACTCTCTCCTATGAAATTTGAACAAAGACCTAATTCAAAATGTAGGAGTTCTAACATTACATTATACATATTAAAGTCATTTCCAATTTTCACTCCTATATTGCATGCAGGTCCTCAATGTATTAATTGGCTCTAGATACTCCAATCTATATAATGAGCTATTAATATCTGAACTTTAATCTTTTCAGTTTTTCATTCTGGGAACTTAGTTCCTTCAATTTCATATCTCTATTTTTTTAAGACACCCGTTTAAGCCATTCTATCTCTCCGTAGTTGGGTGGTTACTAACAAGTTTTTACCAAGATACATGATCTTTAAAATTGTACTTTTCTTTTAGAATAAAAGTGTTACTGTTTCAAAATGTTTGGTGTAACTACTTCCTTGGTGTGAAATCCAAAATATAATTAAATGGTGACTAGATCTAGAACAATCATTTTTGGCTTTTTATCACACCTCTTGTATTCTTAGCATGTATTTAAGAGAGGGGATTTTTATGGTCATTTCTTGTTTTAACACAGTGTTACTGACAATGAAATGATAGAATATATATAGATGTAAAAGTCGCTCTGAGGATGCACAACAATCATGAGTTGCATTTCACTTCATATGAATAGCAAGAATTTAACCCTTGTTGCATTTCTGTGCTTGAGAATTGTAATCTTGCAGGAATTCCTCTGCTGTCTAGCACACAGTCCACAACAGACTTCCTCCTGGAGAAATATTATAGCAAGCAGTCATATTCTATTTTGTACTTGGTTTTGAAATGCTCTGCACGGTTGACTTTAGCTTGGCAAACTCTCTTCAATTCCACAATTCTCTAAAGCTTTCAAATTCTCCCATTATATATATTCTAGAGAAATTGGGCAACATATAAGCCATTATGCATACAGTACAGGATACTATGTGTAAGACAACAACAACAATTACAACATATCGATTTAAGGAGAGTCAAGTATAATTTTATATTATATTTACATTCTACTAATTTTCCTGAATTTCTCAATGGTTTCACTACCATGAGTGATGGTTACTTCACTGCGATGAGTAACAGTTAGAGATATGCATAGTTTCAGAAACAATTTATTGTCTCAAAAAAATTAATTAACACTACGTTTATGATAGAATGTATGCACATGCATACTACTCTTCAAGTAGAAGACTCATAACAATCCTGTTTGTTTTTTTATCAACTATCAACATTGTAACCATGTATTTCTGTCCCCTAAATCCTGAACGATTTTGAAATGCTAACTGTTGTGCTTCATTTCTGCTATTCTGAATATCAGCTCCTTGGACATATCATAATTTTACCTGTTTGATGAGCAATTTATACAACTACACTTCATTCCAGGAATCAAGCAACCGCAGACCAGGTATCAGAATAAAAACCATCTCAGATCCACTTACTGGGATTGTTCAGGGGTGAAATCTTCTCGGTTTGGGCCAGTTTGCCCAAACTTTGCCATGGTTCTCCAAGCTAGGGGTAAAAATCCCTGGTGGCTCTGCCCTCACCTGGTTGCCCGCTTGCTCACTCGCTCATCACTTCCAGCCACTCAGCGGCTCGCTTCCGGCTGCTTGGTACCCCCCACACCCTATGTAAGGTCCCTTTGCCACACGGCCTAGCTACTCGGTTTGCCTGCTCGATCGGAAGCCTCAATCAGAAGCCTCGCCTAGAACCTTTAAGAAGCCTTGCTGACGGCCGCTCACTCAAAAAGATAAGCTGGTTGCGGCCTAGTGTGCCCCCCTGGGTCCCTGGGCTCCCCTGCCTGGCCTGGCTAAGCCACCTGGCTAAGCCACCTGGCTAACTTTCCCCCCAGCCTCCAGCTTTCTTACCTTTGGAGCAAATCCCAAGCTGCCTTGATGTTCGAAGAACACCTGCCTTGCTGTTCGCCTGCTCAGGTGCTTTTAAAATCCCTTGGCTTGCAATCTGCAATCCATCTCATCGGCTAGCAACTGAATCTGCCTGCCTGCCTTGAGCCTTCAATTGTGTAAGTAAGTGGGGTTTTTAAACTTTTTTTTTAAATGTTGCTTCGGGGGGGGGGGGGGGTTAGGATTTTTTTTTTAAAGGAAATAATAGCCATTTAAAATTTATGAAGTTTTAGCTGCTTTTATAATTTTTAGATTTGTGCAGCTTTCTGAGATTTTGTGTGTTTCTGTAGTGTTTCACGCTCACTACACAAACACACAAAATCACACCGAGCTGAATGTCACACTTTGTGCTTGTGATAGTTGGTTTTGTGAGTTCTCTGTGGCTGAGTTTCCTGCTTGTTGTTGCAGGGGACATTTTGTGTGCTTTTACATTGTGTGAGAGTTGCACAATGGCACTGTCTTTTTGTTAAGTGTGAAAGTTGCTTTTTGAGCTCTTTGTGGTTCTGTGAGTTTCTTGCTTGTGGCAGGGGCCATTTTGTGTGCTTTTGCAATTCTGCTTTGGGCAGGGGGTTAGACTAGATAACCTGCAAGGTCCCTTCCAACTCTTAATCTGTTAAGTCTGTTGCAGGGGCCATTTTCTGTGAGGTACAGCTGCTTTTGCATTGTGCTGCTTTTGTGTTATTTTTGTGTTAAAACTAGTGTTTTGTGTTTTTGTGTTTTGTGTGCTTTTGCATTGCTCCCATCACTGGTCCTCAGCTAACAAAGCTCTTTTTCTTCCTTTTGTAGTAGCAGCCTTTACCAGCAAGGATGAAAAGGCAACAAACTTTAGTCAGTTTCTTGGCCAAGAAAC